TCAATTCAAAGTTAATTAAAGTTACAAACTAATTGAATTATACTATGTGTCAACCAAAAAACAAAACTCAATTTTTCATCTTCCATTATATATTTTCATAACAAAAGGAAAATTAAGGCGTAGAGTTCTCAATCCTCTCTAAATCTGAAGTATTAAAACTGAAAGAGAACAAGCATTCAGTACCATTTTGTTCCACCTTCAAAGATGTTTCCTTTCCCTTTTTATTTTTATTATTTTTATTATTTTATTTATTAATTATGAATTTATTGAGATAAAAATGACTAACCAACCATTATCAATCATCCTTGAAAAAAATTGGAATAATTTGTTGGAGGCAAATGCGGTTCTGTTCTTAATACCGCAATTGCAGTTCGGTTTACCGCGAGTGCGGTTTCATTGCGGTAAATTATCGGTTGGTTTTTGCGGTTTTTCGGTTTTTCGGTTTAATATTTCGCCATAGTATGTATACCACACAAACAATAACCATGACATCTAAACTATGCTTCCTGCTTTATTGCCTTGTTATCTTCTTGTATGTTTCATCACCAAATTGGGTTGCTTTTCCTTTTGCTGCTTCTACTTCTCATACTGAAACAAAGGCTCTTCTCAAATGGAAAGCTAGCTTATTTCCAAATGAAGCCCTCAATAACCTCACCTGGTACCCTCCCACTCATAATATTAATGCCACCAATTCTTCCAGCACCAATCCAAAACCAAGAACAAGTCCCTGCACTTGGGGTGGTGTTTCATGCAACTCAGCTGGAAGTGTCAGCAAGATAGACCTTTTCAATAGGGGTTTACAAGGTACGCTACATGAGTTTTCATTCTTGTCATTCCCTAATCTTGAATATCTTAACCTCAGCTTGAACAAACTCTTTGATGCCATCCCACCTCAAATCAGCTACTTCTCCAAACTCCAACATCTTGATCTCGCTGGGAATAACTTGTCTGGGAGAATTCCACCAGAAATCGGTCTCCTAAGACATCTTAGGTTTCTTAGTCTCTTTGCAAATACATTTTTTGGGAATATTCCAAATGAGATAGGAAACCTGAAATCTCTTGTATATCTAGCGTTGTCCTTCAACAATTTAAGTGGTCCCATCCCTCCAAATATTGTTAACTTAACAAAGCTAAACAGTTTGTACTTGGCTAAGAATCAACTTTCTGGTTTGATTCCCAAGGATATAGGGAACTTGAAATCTCTAGTAATTCTAGATTTGTCAGCTAACAATGTAAGTGGTCTCATCCCTCCAAGTATTTGTAACTTAATAAAGCTAAACACTTTGTACTTGGGTAGAAATCAAATTTCTGGTTTGATTCCCAAGGAGATAGGGAACTTGAAATCTCTTGTAGATCTAGTATTGGCTGAGTGTCAACTCAATGGTTCAATTCCAGCCACATTTGCTAACTTGAGCAACTTGGAGATCTTATTTCTACACGATAACCAACTTTCTGGCTCCATTCCCCATGAGTTACAGAATCTCAAGAATTTGACTATATTGCACTTGGATACAAACCAATTGTCTGGTTATTTGCCCCCAAATATCTGCCAATGTGGAAAACTCACAAACTTTTCAGTACACACAAACAATTTGATTGGTCCAATCCCCAAAAGCTTGAAAAATTGCCCAGGCTTAGTGAGAGTCCGTCTTGACCAAAACCAATTGACAGGCAATATATCTGAAGACTTCGGTGTTTATCCGAATCTTTATTTTATGAATATGAGCTACAACAACTTGTATGGAGAAATCTCACACAACTGTGGACACTGTCCAAAGCTGAAAACCCTACTAATGGCAGGAAACAACCTTACTGGTAGCATCCCACCTGAGATAGGCAATGCAACCCAAATTAATGTGCTCGACTTTTCTTCAAATCATTTAGTTGGGTTGATCCCAAAAGAATTTGGGAGGTTGTCTTCATTGTTGAAGTTGAGGTTGAATGGAAATCAACTTTCGGGTTGTATACCGTCGGAATTCAAATCATTGAATGATCTTGAATATCTTGACTTGTCAACAAACAAATTGAATGAGTCAATTCCGAGCATTCTAGGTGACTTGTTCAGATTGCACTACTTGAATTTGAGCAACAACAAGTTGGCTCAAGCAATTCCATTTCAGTTGGGGAAGTTAGTTCAATTGAATGACCTAGATTTAAGTCATAACTCTCTTGAAGGTAGTATACCATCAGCAATGAGTAATATGGAGAGTTTGGTGATGCTCAATCTTTCCCACAACAATCTTTCAGGTTCCATAACATCAAGTTTCGAAGAGATGCACGGCTTGTTGTACGTTGACATATCCTACAATCACTTGGAAGGTCCCCTTCCCAACATCAGTGCATTTCGAGAAGCTCCGCCAGAAAGATTGAAAGGAAACAAAGGATTGTGTGGCAAAGTTGGAGCTCTGCTGCCACCTTGCAATGCACATGGCTCAAAAAAGGACCACAAGTTAATATTCTCTCTCTTAGCGGTATTTGTATTTGCACTTGTATCTGCTTTCTTTACAATTGTCTATGTAATAGTGCAAAGAAAGAAGAAGCATCAAGATACTAAACAAAACCACATGCATGGAGAAATTTCCTTTTCGGTTTTAAATTTTGATGGAAAATCAATGTACGAGGAAATCATAAGGGCAACAGAAGATTTTGATTCCACATATTGCATTGGGAAGGGAGGACATGGAAGCGTCTACAGAGTGAATTTGTCATCTGGAAACGTAGTGGTCGTGAAGAAACTTCATTCTCTATCGGATGGCGAGATAGAATTTCATAAGGAGTTCTTGAATGAAGTAAGGGCACTCAGTGAGATAAGACATCGGAATATTGTGAAGCTTTATGGTTTCTGTGCACATAAACGACACTCATTTTTGGTGTATGAGTATATTGAAAGAGATAGCTTGGCCACAATGTTGAGCAAAGATGAAGAAGCTAAAGAGTTGGGGTGGAGTAAAAGGGTGAATATTGTTAAAGGTGTAGCTCATGCCTTATTTTACATGCACCACGATTGCTTGCCACCGATTGTACATCGTGACATCTCAAGCAAGAACATTTTGTTGGATTATGAATATAAGGCCTGTGTTTCAGACTTTGGCACAGCTAAATTTTTAAATCCAAACTCAACTAATTGGACTGCTGCTGCAGGCACACATGGCTACATGGCACCAGGTAATATTGCGATTCCCTATTCTCTGTATTTAGTCTTTTTTATTATTTTAGACCAATGCTTCATTTTCATTATTAGGAGCGGTTAACATAAACACATTTTCACTACTTTGATTTAGAAAATATGACTATAAACTAATAATTCATTTATGCATGATACAGTTTCGTTAAAATTCCATTGAACAGTTATGTCTATAAACTAATAATGCCACTTTTCTACGGTTTTCTCTTAGCAGAGCTTGCTTACACAATGGAAGTGAATGAGAACTGCGATGTTTATAGCTTTGGTGTGGTCACATTGGAAATAATTATGGGAAAGCATCCTGGAGATCTTTTCTCGTCTTTCTCATTAGTCTCTTCATCATCCTCATCCTCCTCATCATCTGCATTACCAGCCCATCAAATACCAATTGTGGATATTTTGGACCAACACATTTCCCTTCCTACGCATCAAGTTGCAAACGAAGTGGTCTCTATTGTGAAGATAGCATTTTCATGCTTGAATTCCAGCCCAAAATCTCGTCCAACAATGAAACAAGTTTCTCATTTCCTCTCAACTCAGATGCTGCATTTGTCGAGGCCGGTACATATGATGACATGTGGTGAATTGCTTGCTCTTGATCCTTTGGCTACTTGATCAGAACGTGCTTCTTTGCTACACACATTTCACTTTCTCTGTGTCTTCTTTTCAGAAGAAAGATTCTCCATAGATGTTTCCTTCTTGTAATTTATTTCATGCACATGTGTGCTACGGTATGACTTTATCTAGGATGCTTTATAGTTTGTTTATCCTTAACATTAAATACTTATTGGAGAATTTTCCTTAAAGTATTTTTTATCCTTGTGAGGAAAAACAAAATGAAATTAAACAAGGGTTTTGTCGAGTAATTTTATATACTCTGTGTAAACTGTCCCAAAATCAACAATAAACAATTAAACTAGGAAAATTAAAGAGAGCTTCACTATTATACCCAAAATAGGGGCCGAAATTATAAATAAATGAAAAACCCCACATGGAATGCACTTAAGAAACACACCCAAAACCAATTTACTACATAAGAAATGGGTGTTGAAGTTCCTATAAATTACATGATTGCCACTGATTAACTTAAAAATAGTCAACACACAAAACTAAAAAAAAAAAAACCTAAAACAAGCCCAACCTAGATTTTTTTTTATAAAAAAACCACAATTTATTTAAAATATTTTTTTGTGAAAACCAAGGAGGGGCTCTTCATAGAAGTACACTGTTAATACTATGTCATTGAACTATTACGTCATTGAACTATCTTGTTAATATTACTATGTCATAGAAGTACATTGTTAATACTCTGTCAGTTAACTATCGTGTTAATACTCTGTCATAGAAGCACATTGTTAAACAAAATTGAGATCCATAATTGAAATAGTAACAAAAGCTAAATTGATCATCAAACCGTAAAATACATTCCCTAAATCAACTAAAATCCAAAGAGAAACATATAATTGAAGCAAAAGATCAAAAATCCCAAGTCCAAACCAAATGACGACGAAGACATGGCGAAATCCCCGTCTTCCTCCACAACTAAAGACGACGAGTTGTTGTCATTGTGCAATACTCTTGAACAACCGACGACGTCCTTGACTGTCATTTCCGTGCGCCTATACTTTAGATTTTTTTTTTAACGGGTCTAGCCGAGCGGCTTTATTGGGGTCGTTTTAAATTTTTTTCTTTTTTTGTAAATAGTATAACAATGCAGCTATACTCTTTTTGAATATAATATACTTAAAGAGTATAGCCAGGCGGCTATACTACAGTTTTTTATTATAAATAACGGCTATACTGTTTTTTGACACTTGAGTTCGGATCGCTAGTGCGTCCTCTTAAAAAAAATTATATATAAATAGTATAGCCATGCTGCTATACTTGAGATTTTTTTTTTAAGCGAGTATAGCCGTTTGGACTTTACTAGGGTCGTTTTTTTATAAATAGTATAGCCGAGCAGCAATACTCTTTAAATTACACATATGACTAATTTCATGTTGAACTAAATATGCACAAATAGACATAGATGAGTAATTTCATAAACGATAACAACATCTAAGTCATAACATATAATAGTTTTTCGTTTGATTTTTTTCAATTTTGAGCCAATTTTAGCCTTTCAAATCGTTAGACATGCTTAATATTTTCAAGAAATTATGAAATTTTCCAAAATATATTAAATTCTAAAAAAAATTTGAAAAAGAATTTTCATTCCTTTTTTTTTTTTTTTGGCTTGGAATGGGAATCCCCTGATTTCGATTTGATCCGTCTGAAAACCAACCCTACCTCCCACTTTCACTTGATATTTGACCCCAAAAAAAATTTGCAATAGTCGAAACAATTGTAGGAGAAAAAGGTTGGGCTTCAGCTAACTCGTTGGTATTAAATAAATAAATAAGATTCTACTAATAAACTCAGTTTAGCAGGACATAATATATAAAAGTCTTTATAGAGCATATTTGGAGTGAAAAATTCAAAATTAGCCACTTTTTATTTTCTAATTTGTTTGTATAAATTTTTAACTCATTAAGAAGCAATTAGACAATAACAAGTGGCTAGTTTTGAATTTTTCTCTACAAATAGAATCTATATAAATTTTTATATAACATGTCATGCTAAAAGAATTTTTGAATAAATATCTCATAAATAAATTTTGTTGTCAAGCCCCAACTTTTACAGCCCAGCCCATGCGAACTGTGTTGGAAGGTTGGACTTAGCAAGCAAGAGAGAAAAACCCCACAAAAACAACAGTAAACCATAAACCCTCGGCAAAGGAGGACAAGGAAGACAGTCGGAAACAAGAACACCAATCAGAGGGGCGAGACTGAGAGGGATGCTGTACATAGTAGGACTGGGATTGGCGGATGAGAAAGACATCACCTTCAGAGGCTTAGAAATAGTGAAGCAATGTGACCAGGTTTTCATAGAGGCCTACACTTCTCTACTCTCTTTTGGTCTCTCTTCCGACGGCCTTTCCACGTTGGTATGGCTTTTCTTCTGTCTCCCTCTCTTGCTCTATTTGTTTTCAAAACGTACGTGTTCAGTTTTTTAGAAGGAATTTCAATGCACAGGAAAACTTGTATGGAAACAAGTCACAGTTACAGATAGAAAAACGGTGTAGGAAAAAGCCGACCATATTCTAACTGCAGCTGCTGCTTCTGACTTTGCTTTCCTAGTAGTTGGAGATCCTTTTGGGTGTGTATGTCTTTCTTTCAAATGTCAATTTATTATGTTATGTATGTTTGTTTCCAAAGAACTATTTTTTACTAAGTAATTAAAATTTAGTTCCAAACAACTTTATGTTTTAATTGGATTATTTGATCAATTGAAATAGAGTATAGAAATTATGATTAAATGGGAGACTTACACTAGTACTACATTTTGCGGTTTGCGCGACGAAGAGAGTTTCGTCACACAAACATACATTAAGTCACACAAATGTCTGCGCGACAGAAAATTCGTCGCGCAAAGAGCGTTAAGAAAGACTTTGCACGACCAATATTTTGCATTCGTTGCACAAAACTGTGAGACGGTTTACCCTTCGTTGCACGAAAGGTTTAGGGACGCCAAACCTCTTCGTCGCACAAACCTTTGCGCGACGAACTAATGTTCGTCGCGAAAACATTGCGCGACAAATAATATTCGTCGCGCAATTCGTCCCGCAGATTTGGCGCCACAAACGATTCTTCGTCACGCTTTATGTGTCCCTAACGTTTGCGCGACGAAATATATTGCGCGACGAAAGAGTGGTTGTCGCGCATATACTTTTTGCGCGACGAAGATCTTCGTCGCTCAATAATAAATTATATGTAAAAAATATTTTTATATGTTTTTTTGTTTTGTAAATGTGACTTTGCATGACGAGAAACATTTCGTCGCGCAAAATTAATATATATTATATAAATTTAATATTATGTTTTTTTAAAATTTTGTACAAAAATGAATTTGGTTTTTTTTTTTGGGTAATAAAATGAAATTGCAAAAAAAAATAATAATTGTAAAGAATACATCTATTATATAAAATAAAATAAATGTATATAATACAAGAGAAATTTTTTAAAAACAACGGCTCGGAGGTCTGGGCAGGGGTCGTGGTCTGCTGCGGATGCTCTGGGTGGACGGGCTCGGAGGTCGACGTATGAAACTGCGGGATTGGAATGCCGGACCGTGCGAGGGACTCCAGAATCACCGACATCTGACTCTGAAGCATGGCCACCTGTGCAGTCAAAGCAGTTACCTAACTTGACTGCGCTGTTGGACTGGGTCTGAGTTCCCTCTGCCGGGCATTCCCCATCCCTCGACAATATGTCCCCAGCCTCCTCCCGAGAGTCTGATCCAACGTCTCCGTCAGGATCTGAAATCCAGCATCCTATGAAGGATCCACAGACTCAATCGAAGTCTCAGGAGGAAGCTGGGAGGCGGACTTCTGAAGAACCAATTGGCTCCTCTCCACCATCGTCGCCTATTTAACATAACATAAAATATAAATTAAAACATTCATATAATAACGTTTAAACTTGAATGCGTAACATAAGAATTAAAATTAAAAAATACTTACATGAAGGGACTCGGCCAACTCATTCCCAGGCCAAACATAAACGTCGCCAAAGACGTCGATCTCTGTGAATTTGGACCCCCCTAAATTGAACAAGAGAAGAAAAATATTAGTATGAAAAAAAATTAATTAAGAATAATGACATATTAGTTGAAATTGAAATGAAATATAAAAAATTAAATAAACATTAGTAAGAAGTATAAAATAAATTTGAAATTCATATTACAAATTACCACAAAATCGGGCGCCTGAAAATGAGCGCAGAGCCACACCCAACTATCCTTCCGCCCCTCAAGCTCCTTTGGGCAACCTTCCTGAAGAGCGACTTTCGGATCCTCAAAAGCCACAAAATAGTGGTGCAAGTCGCTCTTCCACTGCTTCTACCTATCACAGAAGAGTTTGTTGAGGTACACCAAAGACTCGTCGTCGAGGTCCTCCAAGTTGTAGTTTGTCTGCAATAAATTCATTATATACAAATATATAAAGTTTGTAAGAAAGAGAATGAAAAGGTAGGATACATACCGACAACTGGCCGCGAACCTCCGTTTTGATCTCGTCAGGCATGACCTTCCAAGACTTCCATTGCATCGCGCAATGGGTACGCACGACGTGACCAACGGGCTGGAGAATCTAATTTGTCCCCAAAAATTGTGAAGTAGCCAATTAGGATCTCGTAATTCCTTCTTTGCAGCACAGAACAGGGCTGGAGAATCTAATTTGTACTAACTTTTGAAACATTACAGCAACCTGCAATATGCAAAAGCCTCAAAAATATTATCGCTGGAAGGGAAGTTTTAAGACAGTAGAAAGTTTATAGCAAACAAGACCTTACATCGTAGTCAAACAACTTGTCACGTTCCCATTCTAGCTTATTATCACAAATAGTTCATGAGGTCTGAGAAAACATCAGTAACTTCAGTTTGTTAACATAAATCAATATACGCTAATATAGCTATGATGCAAAATGTATAAATATTTAGTGAATATGTAGTCAACTTTTGATGCACAATAATATAGATTACTATATATCCACTTGAAAAAATGTTTTCTCTCAAAATTTGACTCATGTATTACAATTTTTTTTTCTTGTAATTTTTTACCAACTTCATTTAAATCATTTTTACAACCATGTATATACAAAATT